AGGCTGGAAATATGGTCTTATCATTATATGAGAGCTCATGTTGCCAATACCATTTGCAAAGTATAATTTTCAAAAAAGTGACAACATTGACTCATACAAACAGAAAAAAAGTCAAAGATTTTACTCAATTCAATTAATGAAGAAAACAGTAAATTCAGGGACCTAGAGATCTGTAGTTTGTCAAAGGAATCCTATATAATAAAGAGGTAATATGCAAATTGACCCTCACACCCTCACAAGATGGCTGCCTACAACCAGGCTGGCGGGAGGGGTTAGTGAGTGGTGACCAAATGAATGAACAAGCAGGCTGTCTGGAGTGACCAGGCCAGCAGGGGGGTTAGGGAGGGCCAACCAAACCACTGAGCAGCAGGGTGTGTAGGGCAACCAGGCCAGAAGTGGGGGGTTAGTAAGGAACGACCAAACAACTGAACAGCAGGCTGTGTGGGGCGACCAGGGCAGCGGGGGGGCTGTGAGAGGTGACCAGGCCAGCAGGGGGGCAGCTGGGGGCAACCAGGCCAGCGGGGGGTGGGGGGGGGGGGCTGTTAGTGGCGATCCTGTGGATTGGGGTAAACTGGCAGTTGGACATCCCTCAAGGGGTCCCAGATTGGAGAGGGTGCAGGCTGGGCTAAGGGGACCCCCCCCCCCCGGTACACAAATTTCATGCACCAGGCCTCTACTGCAGAAATAAAAATACAAAACTGTTTTATGTCCCTCAAGGCAACAGCTTTTACAATGCTACTGGACAAGAGCCCCGCCATCTGAAGGGAGAGTGTCCTTATGAAAACTTTCATAGGCTGAAATGGTGTAAAGCAAAGAAGCAAAGACCAGTAATTTATACGGAAAAGTTTTTGAGCATTCCCAGACCCGAATTTGACAGGCACATAATATCTCACTTTGTTTAACATGATCAATACACTTAATTACGTCCAGTTTTCTGATAAGAGTAACACCCTTACACGCTCTCCCAGGCTTTTTCTGACACGGTAAGGCCTCATCTTGCTGATGGATGTGCAGAGTGGATCCAGATGAAGCTCAGAGGCTCCCAGACACAGTTCAAAGCTGTATGGCTCGATGCTGAGTGAGTTCCTCAAGGAAGGGGCTGACGGGCTGCTCTCACTGCCCGGGGTGCCTGCTGCCTCTATGAGAGCTTGCTGTGAAATAAATGCTAAATGCTATTTTTGCTTTTTGCCTTTTTTCATAAAAGTGAAAATCCCGGGGTACTATGAAGGTCTGTTGCAAAAGCGAAGGGGCGTAATGCGAACTTTCCAAAAATGTATACCTGTATTGCTATCAGGTTTTCTGCAAGTTAACCCGTCTATTCTTACAAAGATGCACAATAGCCTTCCTAACCAGTCAGCCTGAGGTTTACTGCCCTAGAAAATCAGATAATCCCCGGGAAGCACAGGCTGTGAGGCAACATCCAGCTCTTTACAGAGAGGGTGCGCAGGACTCACTTTGACCTCTTTCCAAGTTTTGCATAGTTGCTCTTGACACTATTAACTAAGAGGTGCATGAAAACAAACCAATCTGCTTTTTCTGTGACTATCTGTAATTAGATATGTAAACGTGGACACTAACCAGTCTCCCATTCTCTCCTCCCACCACTCACCACCAGTGTTTCATCAGGGACTCTGGAGTCAGACCCTAGGGTTCCATCATTTACAACTGGGCGACGTTAGGTAAATTACTTAATGTCTCTGTGCCTCAGTTTCACAGAGTAAAATATTTTAAATAGTAGTACCCTTAAAGCTTTGTTATGAGGATTAAATGAGATAACATACCAGTTCCCAGTAAATATGAGTTACATTACTACTACAAAGAAAGGGTTAATTATTCTAGTAGGGTCTTTATTACGACATGACAACATTTTGAGAAATAACCTGTCTTACCCCTTGTTAAGAAGGGATTTGGTTCTACATTTTAAAGCAGAAGCAAAATAATTAAATCAAAGTAATGAGCCAATTAGTTAACTAATAATTAACTTGTTAAGGGATTAATAGATTCTAGATGTGTCAAAGGATAATTCACTTCTTTCAACTTTGACGTTAAAGGAACAAAAATGTATGAGTCAGGGGTGGCAGGAAATTAATCTCCGTTAAGACATCCAGGCATTGTGCTCACCACATAGTCATTATATGTCAACAAATGAGTATTTCAGAAGGAGAATAGGTTTTTTTTCTTCCTTAAGGAGAATTGCTACAAAATAATAATAATAATAAAAAAAACCAAAAGAAAAATATGCTGAAGCCTTAGAAAGTGGATTTGACCAAGCATGTCACACGCAATAGCAGTGGTTCAAAGAGCAGTTCAGCTTTAATCATTTATTCTACAGAACAAAAAAGAAACCAAACTAAATACTCTCTGAATCAAAAATTATATTTACTAACACAATGGTAAATATAATGCACTGGGAATTTATGCCCTTTCAGTATGTATTGTTATTTTTACTTTACTCACAGGGTGCTGAGGAAAATACTGAATAAATACACATTTTATTAAAAACACACAAACTCTGTTACAAATTGATATAAATCAGTTATGTCTCCATCCCACCCAAATTTTGGCTTCCATACCCTTAAATAAAAAATAAAAAAAAACCAGTCCTGTAAGCCACGGAAAACCTGTGGATAAAGACGGTAAATTAAATACTGAAGTTGAGAATCAAACAGGAAAGAGCTACAAATCAAAATACAAAGCGAAATAATTTAAGAAAAATGACAACTCATGCAGAAGTCTGGCTACATTTTTATATACTTGAGTCCGAGAAGAGAATTTTCCTACAATGTTGGTTTTTAAGAGGACATTTCTAGGTTAAACTAAACACCAAAGAGAAGGGAATTTCCCTAAAGCGTTTTCTGAGCCAAAGGAAAATCAAATTATGCTTGAAAAATAAAAGCAAAGACTAATGTCTGCCACTTTGCCCCCACCCATTTCTTCAGATTTGCTTCAGTGTAGGCTTTCCTGTTCAAGGCCATTTATTAATTTTATGCTCTCAACACAACCAAATCCAGAGTTAACCCTCTATGTTCCCAATGGGTTGAGGAATGGGACTAAAGTTATTTTTAGTGCCCCATGAGCTGGGAAACTGCATCCTGGCTGTACTAAAACATATGTAAACATGATAAGCCTCAGACTGAAGAAACACATCGAAGAAACAGCAACTTATTGTCAAAGGACATTATTTACAGCCACTATTAAAAGTGATTTCTTCTTGTATAATTTTAAGGAAACATACAGGCACAATGACATAAACAAATCAACTTATCACACTATCTCATATGCTCAAGTTTTTATGTAAAAAACATGAAGTACAATAATGTAAAAACTTGATCTCAAGTTTTTAAAAAGCTAAGCGTGAGTTCATATGTATACTGGATATTTCTGACTTTCAAAGAAAAAGGCAGAGCTAACAAAACGATGCTAGGATACAAAGTGTTATAGTAATTTTTCAACTGTGCCTTTCTAGTTCGTTTGCCACAAAAAAAAATATTTGATAAAAGTAAACACATGATGGTGTAATAAAGGCTTCCCACAACTGGAGACACATTTAAAATACATACATTTAAGTTGGGAGAGGACGCGGTGGGGAGAGCCTTTCATTCATAATGACCACGTAGAGTCATTAGAAACTATCGCTCATACGTCAAATACACACGAGACGATGCACCTGTTTTCAAATGTCCACTGGGTACAATGGCAAGTAACAGCACTTGAGAGTCAGGGGCCACTGGCTTTCTAAATACAATGAACACTATTACCTCAGTTGTACTAATAACTCAGATTGTTTAAAATGGTAGCTTTAAAAGCTTATTTTTGAAAATTTAGCTTGTAATAAAACCCTTATCAAAGAATGTGCTGTCAGGTTTTTCCTGTTATGTAATGAAAGAACAATAAAAGGCAGGTGGAATGTACAAGAAGAAATAACGAAATAATAGAAATTACATACCTCAAGCTAAACTGATAGGATAGGGTGAATAAAAATGATATTAACCATGATTATTTGAGGTGGTACGGCTATTTTAAAGTTCCTTTTAATTATGATTTTAATGGTATGTGTATCTGACATTTTTGTTTTCTATTCTCAAGGGTATATTTTAACCCTATTTTAAACAAAATTAGTAGCCCAAATCTTTAATCTACCTTAAACTAATTTTCGTTTCTTGTCCTCTTCTCTACTCTCCAAATCTCTGAACAGGGTTCTACAATAACCAATAGGGCTCTTTGATGCTCCTCAATTCATTTTTGCAAGTATCCTTGCAAAATCCACATATACTGTAACTGTATTAACATTCGTTAACATACCAAGAAACCTAGGAATCAGTATGGTTCCATTTGGAGAGGACAGTTAAAAGCAGTGCTTTTGTTAAAATTGAAGCCCATTTTGTGTCACATGGCCCCCTGTGTCCTCTGAGTTGAGACTTAGTGCGACAAAGAAAAACATGGCTGACACTAAAGAAACATTACACTGTGGGATATGGCTAGTGGAACTGATGTCTACATCAGCTCTTGAGGTAGAAATTTTACTACTCATTATTAAATATGTGACTAAGTCAGCCGTTCTCAACCTGTGGGTCGCGAGCCCTTTGGGGGTCGAACGACCCTTTCACAGGGGTCGCCTAAGACCGTCAGAAAACACATATATAATTACATATTGTTTTTGTGATTAATCACTATCCTTTAATTATGTTCAATTTGTAACCACAACATGAGGAACTGTATTAAAGGGTTGCAGCATTAGGAAGGTTGAGAACCACTGACTTAAGTTCATAATGTTTAAATATAAAAGTTTAAAAACTGCACAAAGATGGTATGAATGCCCCTTATGTACACCTTAAAAGTCAAATGAAATCAATCAGGTTTACAATGAGATTTTTTTTCTTTATGAATTTTTTAAAAATATTTTTTTTATTGATTTTCTTTTGAGAGAGAGAGGAAGGAAGAGGGAGAGAGAGAAAGAAGATGAGAAAAACATCAATCGGCTGCCTCCCACACGCACCTTGACTGGGGATCAAATGGGCAACCTTTCAGTGTACGGGATGATGCTCAACCAACTAATAAGCCACGTCGGCCAGGGTTCTTTATAATTTTTTAAATACATATATATATATACATATATATATTTCTTTAGAACTTTATATAATCTATAAATTGATTTTCCAGTTACTTCCAGTCCTTTTAACTCAACTTAAGGAAGGAAACCAAAATCTTTAGGATGTTAACTATCAGTAAAAACAGAATTCTAAGCGTTCCTCACCTACACCATAAACTTCTGTAAATAGGTAATTCATTTTATATTTTAAAAATACTGGTTTGGAACAACTGAGTGCTACATCTGTATTTATTCAGGTGTCTGGAAAATTAATCGGCCAGTTTTAGAGGTGGTTGTCTTAAATTAGCAGGAGGACGCCCCCATGAGTTTTCTTAGGGGCAGACAGGTGGCAGAAGGATGTCTGAGGAAGATGTGGGGGGAAACTGGCCAGGAGCGGCGAAGAAATGTTTCCTCTCACAGTTCCAGGGGCCCTCCACAGACAGAGGGTGAAAACACGATTGTGTGCTTTGTCAGTCTGTGCGGGACACATAAATTCCAGCTTGTCTCACAAGTGGCCGTCTACAAACACTTATAGAAACTTTACCTGATCCTGATACACCCTATTCAGAAACTGAACACACGCACCCGGGCATGGACAGCACAGGGAGGAGGGAGAGCTGGCGCGGAAAGGTTAAGAAGGTGCTTAAATGCCAAGTTCAGGGAGAAATCTTGGCTTCTGATCCACTGAACTACGAAACACAGCACAATCATTAAAAACATGGGGAGAGAATGAAGTACTGAGCTCATCATTAACCACGACCTATTACAGCTGGCAAAGAGCGGTTGAAAAGCACAGTCGGGAGGTAAGTAAACAGCCACCATTGTTCATTTTTTCCCTTTCCCTTTCGCTAGAATCTCTGCGTAAGAGGTGTGAATGAAGTCATACAGCTGCTTGGCATTTGCAGCGTTCCCCAGGATACCTGCGAGCTTGTCTTGTGACAGGCTTGCTAATTCTGCAATGTTCTTCACGTGGCTCATCAAGGAGCGACAGTTTTTGGCATTCACCCCCGGCATCTTTAACAAGAAGTCCTGGGGGCCAGGGTTATACTTTTCTGACTCGGGGAGGGTTCCAGAATCCGCTGTGACAGCCATGGCGGTCGCTGCATCGGGCTGCGGCTTATTTTGTTTCAGCTCCTCAAACAGCTCGGCGGTGGCATGAGGGGACGGGCACCAGAGAAGCCGGAGTTTGGGGAAGTGCAGGGTGAGGAGGGTGAGTTTGGAGCTAATGTCGTTGCTGGAGATCTCCTGATGGAAGGCGCCTCGGGCAACGAGAGAGAAAGGCTTGCTGGGGTCAAACTCGATCAGCAGCACTGGTCGCTTGTAGTAGCGGGACATGGAGATGCACTGGCTGTAGAGGCGGCCGTTGTTTAAGGAGCCGATCAAATCGCTGATGCTCTTGCGTTCCACACACATTTCTGGGGTCAGAATGTAGTCTCCAACCTCTAAGGTCACTGGTTCAATGTCAATGCCCCGGCGATGGATCAGGGACGGGAGTTCACTTCGAAACTCACGCATATCCACCACTATAGTTTGCTGTATACTTTTCTGTTCCTGGCCACCTATTAAGAAAAAGTGGCATTTTAAGTAATGTTCCTGAGGGAGAATTTGTAGAAGATGGAATACAACAATTAAAGTTTAAGATTATTTTTTTATTAATCTACGATGCATGGTTACATAGTACTGTTAATACTCCGTATTTTTCTATATTTTAAAAAGGCTTGTTTACAAAGTAAATAAAGGCAATTTCTCTTGAGCTAAATAGAATGAATAGGGAAGTTAGAATCATTATTTCTAACAATGATTCATAGATACCAGCATGTGCTATCGCGCTCCCTCTGCAGTCCCTCATCATTGCACTGAACACATTTCACTGGTTACGTGTTCCCAGTTCCTAGGGCAGAGCCTGGCACACTGCAGATGCCTAAAAATACTTGCTGAATAAATTGCCTTACGAGCTGCTGGGAACCATTTTGGAACTTTGAGTGCTTATATCAATGGGTCCCGAGGTGGGAAAACGGAAGACGGTAGGAAAAGCAAGAACACCGTGGAACAGAGCCCCTCACACTGTCATGTGCATGTGAACCACCAGGACCACGTTAAAGAGCAAATTCTATTGTGTTTTTTTTAATTCCTAATACCCAGATTTATTCTTTTTTTAAGTGAAACTTATTGAGGTGGCATTGTTTGCTAACATTATATGTGCCAGGTGGCTGATTCTATAATACATCATCTGTATAGTGCCTTGTGTGCTCACCACCCAGAGTCGAGTCTCCTTCCCTCACTACGTATTTGACCCCTTGTACCCTCTCCCTCAGCGGTGGGCAAACTTTTTGACTCGAGGGCCACAATGGGTTCTTAAACTGGACCGGAGGGCCGGAACAAAAGCATGGATGGAGTGTTTGTGTGAACTAATATAAATTCCAAGTAAACATCATTACATTTTTTTTTTAGTTTTATTCATTTCAAACGGTCTGGATCCGGCCCGCGGGCCGTAGTTTGCCCACGGCTGCAGTCTCCCTCCTTCTTGTTACCTTCTGTTTTATAGCCCACATATGAGTGAAATTATATGGTAAAGAGCAAATTCTAAACAGCGGTTGGCAAAAATAGGATTACAGTTGTGAGACTACAAAACAGTTTATTCTTGTATTATTATTTATTAATTATTGCATTATTTGTATTACAACTATAAACTTACTTTTGTCAATCCCAGGCTCTGTCTGAGATAGGGTCTAAGACTGCATTTATAATAAGCTCTCAGGGGATGCTATTGCTTCTGGGTTAAAGACTTCACTACACGAAGGCTGTGGTAGGCAGAATAACAGCCCGTAAAGAGGTCCATGTCCTAATCCTCAGAACCCGTACGTATGTGACTTTATATGCAAATGTGATTAAATTACAGAGCTTAAGATTGGGAGACGACTTGGGATTATCCAGGCAGGACCAAGTGTCTTACACGTGAAAGAGGAAAGCGGGAAAGTTAGAGTTGGAACTACTGCCTTTGAAGGTGGATGAGGGGGCCATAAGCCAAGGAATGCAGGCAGCCTCTAGAAAGAACCTGGAAAGGAAAGGGGTTCTCTCCCAGACCCCCAAGGAGGAATGCAGCCCTGCCAACACCTTCATTTTAGCCCAGTGAGACCCACAGGACTTTGGAATTATCTATCTCTCTATATATAACCCTAATATGCAAATAGACCGAACGGCAGAACAACCGAATAACCAGTTGCTATGACATGTGCTGACCACCAGGAGGTGCACGCAGAACATGGTGGGCATCGGCAGCAGGCAGCAGAGCACGGAACATGGCAGGTGTTGGCTGCAGTGGGATGGTGGAGCAGGTGAGCAGGGGCACCAGACCAAGGCAGGGCACCGGTTGCTGTCATTGGGGTGGGCCTCTGATGGTTACTGAAAATTCTTTGCTCCCGTGTGCCGCAGTCCCACCTGGCGCTTGCACCTGCTGCTGGTGCCAGCCCTGCTCACACCCGCTGCCGGCGCCTGGTGCCGGCCCCGATCACTCAGTGCCATCAGCAGGTGTGAGCGGCAGTTGCCGGCCCCGATCGCCCCTCAGGGCTTCTCCACCTCCCCCTGCTCCTGAGGGGTGATTGGGGCCAGCAGCCGCCATTCACACCCACTGATGGTGTGGAGTGATTAGGGCCGACACCAGCAATGGGCATGTGGGAGCGGGAGCGGGGCTGCCGGTAGAGAGGGGACTAGGGGCTGCAGTGGGAGGGGCTGGGCGGGGGCGCGAGGATGGGCCAAGACCTGCCCCTGTGCCCACCACAGCTTTGCGGCCCACAGTTCCTTTCAATGTGCACGAATTCATGCACTGGGCCCCTAGTAAGATAATTGTAACATAATTAATGTGTGTTGTTTCGAGCCACTAAGTTTGTGGTAATTTATTACAGCAGCCATAGGCAACTAACCCAGGGCTCAGAGGACTGAACGCAAAAGGACAGATTTCAGTGAGTGGCTTTCTGAGTGGTACCTCCACGCTCAAATCTGTCTTCCTTCACACTGCCTTACATTCTAAAGTTCTGCATGAAATGCCACCAACCTGTTCAAGTTAATAGGAATCTTCTTCCAAAAGACCTAGATGCTCTGAGGCACTGTTTCCCAAAGGATGATCCAAGGACCACGGAGACACTTTCAGATCTACTGAACTGGAATGCCTATGAACTGAGGCCTGTAAGTCCACAGTTTTTACAAGCATCTGGGGTTATTTTTATTTCTTAATAATCCTCACCCAAGGATATGTTTTTATGGATTATAAAGAGAGGAAGACAGAGAGACAGAAAAGAGAGAGAGAGAAATTATCGATGTGGGAGAGAAACATTAATCAGCTGCTTCCCGTACACACCCCGACCAGGAATCAAACCTGCAACCTTTTGGTGTATGGGACGACACTCCACCCAATGGAACCACCTGGCCAGGGCTGAGGTTATTCTTAATTACACTAAATTCTGAGACCTACTGCTCTGACTGTGCTTGACCTCATCAAAGGTTAAATCAACTCAATTATACTGCTTTTCTCTGTCACTTACTGATCTCAGCTGCTGCCATGGGGAAATGGGATGTGGGAATGGGAAATATTATTCCTGGGTCAGGGTGCGATTGGAATTCAGCAGGTCTTGGTGGTCTGCTGCAGTTCAGATACTGCATAGCAATGAGAGTGCACACCCCTGGGATCTGGAGAAGCTTCAAGAAGCAATAAACAAATCCAGAAAGATAAGTGGGAATGTACCTAAACAACTCTATCTCTGGTTAAACGGGCTTCTTCCAGCTAAGATAAGAACCTAATCATCATTTACAAAAATTTCTTTGCAAAAGTACATTCAGTCTCAACCAACCACATTTAAAAGCAGTGCTGGAACATAGCTAATTTCCAAGCTGGGGTGCATCAACTACACCCCCCCTTATTTTACAGGTGGGGAGCCTTAGGTTCAGGAAGGATACAGGGTTACTAAATGGCAGAGTGGAGACTAGGGTTTGGAGCAGACATCCATCTTTAAGTTTGTTGAGAAAACCAAGTCTCGGCATAGAAACTCTGGAATCTCACAGCCTCCTTTAGAGGCAACGGGAGGGCAGGACTCACCTGCTTTCCGAGTGTCGGTGGGATCACCTGCAGGCTGGGAGCCTCTTACCAGGTCTAGGTTTGTTTCACTTCTGCCTTCCCTTTCTTCCGGGACAACCATGCTAGCCTTTTCCCTGCGAGAGAAAAACACTTTAAACATTTTGGACTTAATTTAGAAATTCCAGACTTTAATCTTTTGTAACTTATAATATAGAAAATGACCAACATGACTATAGTGGTAAAAAAGAATACAAGAAATACTTTAGAAGTCAATATGCCCAGACAAGTGATGGGCAAGAAAAGGATTTTTTGGTTGGGTACTACTTCCCATCTTCCAGAGTTTAAAAAGCTGCTGTTTATTTTCTATTTTATATGTTCTTTAAGAACTTTCAGACATGAAATAAGCATGTAAAAACACTGCAGATAAATTATTGAAACATTTAATTTAAAAACATGCTAATATGTTATTGAGCATTAAAAATAATTTAAATAATTTATATTCCAACTAGAGGCCCGGTGTACGACATTCATGCACTGGGGGGGTAGGGGTGTCCCTCAGCCCAGCCTGTGCCCTCTCGCAGACTGGGACCCCTCGGGGGATGTCCGCCTGCCGGCTTACAGTCAGACATCCACCAAGGGGTCTTTAGTGCTGCCACGGAGGCGGGAGAGGCTCCCACCACCACCGATGCGCTCTCCAGCCATGAGCCTGGCTTCTGTGGGAGCACACTGACCACCAGGGGGCAGCTCCTGCATTGAGCGTCTGCCCCCTGGTGGTCAGTGCTCGTCATAGTGACTGGTTGTTCTGCCATTCAGTTGATTTGCATATTAGGGTTTTATTATGTAGGATACTTCGGAGTAATCATAAATAGAGATGGTTAAAAATCAATGATTTTAGAAAATAAAAACATACATGATGGAACTCCGATTTAAAAAACCCCATTAATCACTCAATTTTAAAGGAAAAATCAGGGTTGATTCAAGAAAGCAAATTTCCAACTGAGATTTAAACAAAAAAAATCAGCATCTCAGCACTGATTCACCCACCGGTGCAAGTATTTAAAAATATTTATCAGTGTGCCTATGTGCTGTGCTAGGTACTCTAGATGCAAATATAGTTACACGATAATTCTTGTCTTCAAGGTAGCTCAGTACCTTATACTGCTTAAATCAACAGAACTGCACATTCATAACAATGATTTGTAATCAGGAACTACAATCATGATAAGATCATCTATAACCAAAGAAAAAGTACGTTATATCCCCCCCCCCCCCCCCCCCCCAGAGAGGAAGGGAGAGGGAGAGATAGAAACATCAATGATGAGAGAGACTCATTGATCAGCTGCCTCCTGCACGCCCCCTACTGGGGATTGAGCCCACAACCTGGGCATGTGTCCTTGACTGGAATCGGACGCAGGACCCCTCAGTCTGGAGGCCAAAGCTCTATCCACTGAGCCAAACTGGCCAGGGCCTTGAAACAGCAAGTACTGTTTGTGTCCAATTAGTACAAGATATGACAGACAAGAAGAATAAGGCTGTTCCCTTCCCGGTAGGGCTGGCTTGCTACTGAGTTGAGGAAACAAAGCAACCATGAGAGATGGGGGACATGGAAAACACTGCACTAAAAGAGACTAGAGTGAGGTGAAACAGAAGAGGAATCTTCAGTATTAACTAATAATTTCAACAAGGGTTAAACAGCAAAGACTTTCCAAACGGAAGGAAATGAAACCAGATGGACCCATTCTCCAAGCACTCTGGATGACAAAGGAGATTTTAGAGCAGGGTACCACTAAATGATACCACTGAACAACAGATATTAGAATTTTAATTTCCATTCTACTTGAAATGATATACAAACGCACAGTTATAATCAGTACACCATTTTAGACGCAAGGTGTTAGATAGCAGTTCCGGTTCAATTTTTCCTCCTTATCCTCAATACCAGTGCCAGGTGTTGCCTGCTGGAAAATTCTTTGCAATGACAATGGTTCTGGCAGCCGCTCATTACGTTCCATTGTATCTACTAGCCAGCCGTGGGCAAACTACGGCCCGCAGGCCGAATCCGGCCCGTTCGGCTGTTCTATCCGGCCTGTGGAGCCGAAAGAGCGGAGGGTTCTCTTGCTCTCCCCTCCGCTCCTTCACCAGCAGCAGTGTTAACATGGCAACGTCGGGAAACACGGTCACAGCTCCTTCTTCTGAGTCCAGTTTAAGAACCCATTGTGGCCCTCGAGTCAAAAAGTTTGCCCACCCCTGTGAGGACAAAGGACCAATCATTCAAAAAAATTCTTGCTCTTAAATTTCTTTTTCTTTCACATTTGGGTTAACATTGAGGATTTTCTCTCTTTTTTTCTATTCTTGACACTGGCTAAGCTGCACATCACACCTGGGAGCACTCCCGTCTCCTGACGGATTTGTAATCTGTGAGTGGCGGGACAGCATGGTGCAGTGCGGACTCTGGAGAATTCTTATTCCTGGATTTGAAATCACTTTTTGAAATCACTGTCTGTGTGGTCTCAGGCAAGTCATTTAATGGCTCAGTGTCTCGATTCCACCTGTAAATGGGGATAAGAAAACCTACCCCAAAAACTGCTACAAGGGTTACACATGCTATGTAAGGCACTCGGAACAGCGCCTGGCACATAGTTAGTACTAAAAAAAGGTTAGCTGCTATTATAAGTGCACTTTTCTTTGTTTAATCTGTTTTTATTGATTTTAGAGAGTGAGGAAGGAAGAGGGAGGGAAACATCGATGAAAGACAAACAGTGATGGGCTGCCTCCTGCATGCCCCCTCCTGCACAACCCGAGCATGTGCCCCAACAGGGAATCGAACCAGCAACCTTTTGGTGCACAGGACAACGCCCAATCAACTGAGTCACACTGGCCAGACCTAAGTGTACTTTTCTGATAAGGTGGTAACCTTATCCCCTAATTATCCATGATTATGCTAAAAAACTGAAGATTACTTTTAAGTGATTCCACAACTGTTTCAATCAATACTGTTAAATAAAACAGCTAGTTTACCATTAAATGTTATAACATAACTGCAAACTGGGTCTGAGAAAAAATATACTCCTGAAACCACAGCTGTGAAGAAAATATTGTTTTCTCAAATTAATTTAACAGAAATCTGCCTTAATTATATTCAGTCCCTTGCTTTCAGCATTTACATAATTATTCAAGTACTCTCTGTGACAGACACAAAATAATTTAAAAATTCAGATGCCTACTTCCATTTAATCTAAAATACTGAAGTTTCTTATTTTCCCTTCAACATCTTCAGTGATGCGTGAATTGCTTGTACATGACAATATAGGGAGGAGGCGCTGAACTGAAGTCTCTTCCAATGGGCCTTTACTCAAGCCCTCATACTAACCCATTTTATGATCATATTTTCTAGTTGTAACATTTCAGATAATCTTGCCCCTTCCTTTGAAAAGCAGTGACCTTTCCAAAACTATGTGTACTCAGAATGTTATTACTAATTTTCCGATCCAGGGAGCATTTTTTATAAACACTTAGAAGTGCAATCTTTTTTCTCTTTACTCCTCTGTAATCTACTCATCTTCAGTCCCATCAAATAATCTTTTCATCACCAGCTCGCTTGCTTGATTCGTTCTTCTCTGGCTATTTTAAATAGTCGTACTGCTTTTACTCTTACATCACCCATGAAGGGGGTCCTGGCAAAAGCACATTTTCTGACTCTGACATTAAATTTTTCTCCAAGTACAGGTTCAGTGCAAATGCTCTTTCAGTAATACACCTCACATATATTTTGCTTTTCAAAACAAACACTTCTCAAATTCCCCAGGTTTTCTGAGAAAGTAAGTATTTTAAGATTCTAAATAGTATGACTTTCTGATTGCTATTTAATATGGGAAGATCTAACTTATAATAAGTAGACAATCACCATTGAGAGAGTTTAGAAAATTATGCCAGACCTTAGATAAAAATTACATTAACATCTGCTATGGAGACTATTGTATAGATTGAAATGTAGGAGACAGTCCACATTCCAGGTTCTGCTGAGTAAGATTTCCAGGAAGCGCCAGGCTTATCCACACCTCCTCACTGAGCCCTCTGATCTACAGAATTACTTACATAAACAGGAAGGACCTGGGGCCCCCAATACCGTGCTACAACCTGCTAAAGTACTCTTCTCCCTGCTGTACCAAAGAGGCAGCCTCATGAGGGAAGCCTGGGGCATAAAAACTCACCTCCTCAGTACCTTCCTCCCCACACCCGACCAGGCTCCTCAGGCGACAGCACTGTGCGGGAAGTGTTAACTCAGCAGGCTTGGGCTGCTCAAACCCTGCACATTCCTAAGAAAGGCCTGTCTCCTGGGGACTGGCCCGTGGCCAGCTTCTGGGAGATGAGCTCTGAGCCCCTGGAGCATTCTGTCTGGTTTCTGTCTGGCCCCTGAGGCCTGGGGCCACACAGCACCAGTTGGATCAGATGCTTTATGCTAACATGCGTTTTTGCTTCAGGGGTAGAGGCTGTCAGATTGGTACGCTGTGTCTGTGTGACTGACCCTCAATAACGATGCTCAGCTGGGCGCCCTGTGGACAGTGCTACGTGAGCCGTCATGCACTGCTGCTGCTGGAGAATTAAGCTGGGCTGTGTGACTCCTCTGGGAGAGGACACCCAGAAGCCTCTGCCTGGATCGGCCCGGGCTTTCCCCAGGTGCTCTTTCCCTCGGCTGATTTTCATGGGTATCCTGTTGTAATAAACCGTAACTGTGTGAGATACCCGTGGGTCCTTCTAGTGAATCACTGAGCCTTAGGGTAGTCTTGGGGATCCTCAACAGGAAGACCAATGTGAGTAACCTAATCTGAATGTTTTAGCGTTATGTGCTCATTTGTAACGTGGTGGCACTTACTTTAATCACAGAAACCTTAAGCAAAGGATGTTTTAAAAAGAATGAAGGAATGTTTAGAAGGTACCAGCCCACATCCAGGATCACCAGTTCTCTGACTCCAGCTCCTAAATCTCTCTTAAATCTGTTCCTCTCTCCTCATCAACTGGATCTTGGCTACCACCTTCTCAGACAATTGCAATAGCTTCCTGACTACTTTCCCTGCTCCATCCATTCCTCAGTTTGATGCCAGAGGGAGCCTTTAAAAGTATACTTAGAGCTCTTCAATGGTGTCTCATTGCCTTTGGAGTCAAGTCTTAAATCTTTCAACAGCCTTCTTGCACCTCTGAACCTTCATACACACCCTTGGTCAACACAACCCCCTTGTCCACCTCGTCTACCTAGCGACTAGCACACATTCATGTATCAGCTTAAAGATCACTTCTGCAGTGAGGATGTCCCTAGTCTAACACTGGGTTAGATCTCTTTGACACACTCTCTTGTTACACCCGTCTCTTTTACCTTCATAGCCTGCAACACTCTGCACGTGCCAATTATAATATTCATTGAATGCTTAATTATTTAATGTCTGTCTTTTCCACTAGAGGACAAGTTCTTGGAGGGCAGAGACATTTTCTGCACCATTGCTGTAACTTAAGCACTTTAATATAAGCACAGGGCTTGGCACGTAATAGATGCTCAATAAATATCTGTTGACTGAATCTTGGGAAAGTAAAGATATAGAAGACACAGAGATGCACTAAAAACTTTGGACCAAGAACAGACAGCCTATATATAATACCTTGTTTGTTATAATACCTTCTTCAAAAAACGTGCAACCCTCCAAACACATACCATATGAACCATTCCACAAAACATGTTAATAGAAAATATATTTCCGTGGGCTGAAAGGACTGACTAATAATTGTATGACTAGAAGCTGGAAGACTCCATGAATAAGGCACATCACAATCACAGAGGAGGGGAAAGATATAGCCGTGTGGTATGCTGAGCCCCTCCACAGAAACTCAACGGCACTGATTCACTCAACACCCCTGGACAAACTGGGTCTGTGTATATTTTATGCATACACTCAGAGTCCACAGCCAGTGTTGGAGGGCGGTTGTCAACTCTGAAATTTTGCCCAGGGCCCTGGCAGGCTAGCTACCACTGAAAAGGGTCTCTGCCTTCTCATTGCCATTGGTACCCTGCCAGTGTCAGAGGCCTGGAAGATGGGTACAGCCGCTATTCCCAGCTCGGGCCATAGTCTCTTCTGGCCTAACCTTTTCTCTGCCTCAACTCCAGGATGCCCTGTCCAGCCCTGCCCTGGCTTCTGAGGCCCCTAAGGGATCACCTGATCCATTTTCCCTCACCAAGCTGTGATCTCCTTGACAATGTCCCTGGTGGGAGGTTATCAGATTTCTCGAACACCACCAGGGGTGAGAGGTAGCCATCCTGCCGGGAACCAATTCCAGCATGTCATAATTTCAAGAGACGAAACTTGGGGACTCAACAGGGTTGAGTCACACATGGAGTCACCTGTTGGGAATGGCTAAAGGCATTTCCCCAAACCTGAATGGTAAACTGATTGTGGCTGCCAGACAGTTAAAGGGCATCTTAATCTACATGTTATTGCCTCCTACTGGCCAAACACCTGAACAGCCGGAGGCTAATTCCCCCAAACTGACAATGGACTCTGTACCCTTTGAAGTGTAATATCTCCACCTTGCCTTAGGACAAATCGTGTTAATAAAAGCAAGGGTCCTAGAGAAGAAGGAAGTCTTCAGTTCCTTTAGCTGAAGGTCCTCTGACCCCCAATGCCTTTCAAAATTATATCTCGTCTCTGGGCTCTTTAATAGTCTCTGGATTCCTATGTCATCTACACGCAGCCTTTTCCAGATTCCTGAACCCTTCTTGATGCTGGGACATGAACCCCGGCACCATCCAGTGTGTGAATATCTCACTGAGAAACATTTTCCTTATATTAAACTAGGAAGCCTTTTCTATTTAGATGTAGAACCCTCGTTGGACGAGATGTAGGACACTTGTTCTCAAAAGCATACACTTATGTTCAGATAAAGATCATACCTTTTCAAAAATATTTTCCCAGAGCGATCTACTGATCTAAACTGACCTGGATGTAAAAAGTATTTCCCAGTAAATAGTCAAGCAGTCACGCACCACAGACAATGCAAATTGTACAGGGGTTTTAAAAAAATCATAGCTCCAAGGAATGGGAGAAATCTTGTGCATGGGGAGAGGAAGAGAGAGTTTTAAGAACATATATCTTAGAAAAGCAGTGTTTTAGTTATATTTCTTTACAGGCACATTTCTAATATCCTATGAAAGCACTGAAAAGCAATTGGAGATGGGTTTACTTACATGTGATCCTCCCCAACCTCTTCTCCTCTCCATCCTCCCAGAGGGCTGTTAGACATTGGCCCGCCCAGAGAAGCCTTTCCAATAGAGCCCGTGCTTTCTGACTGTCTATGCGTTACCTGATGAGTTTTTCAAAAGCTTCCTTTTCCTTCCGCAAAGCAGTGAGATAGCGTTGTTCTTCGGTCGAACCTCCGTATATGAGAAAGTAAACCCTGCAAGTGAGGACAGAACTCTTTTAGATTGCAAAGACGTAACTTGTAATCCCTGAAAGGAAGAGCATAGTATTTGAAATAAGCAACCTGAAGTGCTCAAATAATAAATAATGGACTAAGGATAAAAGTTCCATTAATCATAGTGAAATTCAGCTGCCTGAACCCCACATGTTAAAGGTCTCACTGCCATATGGGTCCTTTTCTTTTGCCAAAGGAAGAACAGAGTTTAGGTAAACAGTGAAATAGAACGGGAGGGATGGAATAACTACAAACAAACCAGAAAACACAAAATCTCAGTGGCTTCTCTATTTTCAATGTTTCTTTGCATCTTTGCCAAACAAGCATTTAAGAAGTTGGACAGTCGTTGTAAAAAGCAGCTTAGGAAAGTGCATATTAGTGAGAAATAAACAAATGAAATCTATATGAACTTTATCTTCACCAAGCAATTTCTCAGTTCTTTCTTCTTTATGTCTTAACAGCGCTGAGTCATCGCACATTTTACATAAGCACACAGATACTGAAGACATATGGATTACAACAGGCTCCTCAAGGGATAACTTGATATATGCTATTCTTTTAGAAAAGGTCTGCTTTTCTACCTTGCTTATTGCTATGAAGATGAATTAAGCACCGTTTCTGTCCCTTTCCTGCATCTTCTATCAGAGATATTTCCCTTTTGCAGCCCTCGATTTTTCTTTTAGACTTCACCTTCCTAGATTCTTTGAAGTGTGAACAGGGAAGAGACCATTGGACAATGAGTCCAGAGACCTTAGCTCTTCCATGAATGTGCCACATGGCTGAGGGAAGTCGTTCACCATTTGTGGGCTTCCATTTCCCACTGACACAGTGAGCAGCTGAATTCCCAGGTTCCTTCTGATTCTGACATTTTGTTTGCAAATATCACACTATTTTATTCTCAGGCAACAAAGAACAGACAAGCTATCTACAAAGTTGATCAATAGCAAAGTATGAAAAATTTACCAGCCTATAATTATTTTACCAGCTTCATCTAATCTCTTCATTCTGCATTATTTCTGATCCACTTCCTCCATTCATCTCTACTCTGAAAGGCTGCATTCGTTAAACTGCTAGAAAAAAATTTCTTTGGCTCTGTTTTGTGGTTCAGACTGTGTTCAGGATATTAATTTTGTTGTTTATTTCCCCTCAGATAACTGGAGAGCCAGAACACTATATTCTTTGGGAGGCATCATTTTCTCATCTGATATTTCTGTAGATTGTTCACCTGATTATTTCTTGAAACTCAAGAAAACTTGGCACAATAATCCCTCAAATACTTTAGTTTTATGTGAATGTAACTCAGAGTCACTTCTTAAAATTTATAAGAAAGACATTTTGGAAGATTGAAATTATTTAGCTGAGTCATAATGACATTAATTTTGGGGAGAAGTCAGGATATAAATTTCCTAGACTTGTTCAGATAGAGCACCCCATAAGGTACAAACCAGTGCATAAAGAATATGGAACATAACAACAGAGCAGCAAGTAATGAGATCACGAACAGTCCTCAGGACTCACTGTTATGCTACATTGGATACCCTTCCTATGCACGCTCCCAGATTCATCAGAGAGCAAAATAAGGTTTCATAAATGTAACCAACACATAACAACAGAACGTGAAAGATAAGAAAACCCACATGCAACAGGGATAGTTTCGGTGCTAAATCCTAAAGAACTGTGAATGTGAAGCCTTACAGATGCAGTTCACACTCCACATTCTTTATAACTTGCCTGAGCGGTTTCCCGGGCCTACTTGCCCTGTAAATTTCGAGCTGACGCACGAATGTTAGCTCTGCGTCATACAGAACCACGTATCTTGGCTCCACTTCGTGGAGTACCCTCGTCAGAGCATAGGGGTCGCTACAACCCAGAAGTGGGTGGATGATGATGAGGGGGTCTTTCAGAATTCCATAAGCGGCATCCGATGACAAGTTTAAATCAAACTCCTCATGCTTGATTTCTTCTAAGCAGCTCTCTGGGCTGCTGCATAAGTCTCTAGGGTATCCTTCTTTGCTATCCCCTTCCTCTTCAAGTTCGTCAGGTTTCTCCATCATCTGAGTTAACGTTAACTTTTGTTTCTTCTTTTTGAGAGCCCGTTCTTTGGCAGGAGCTCTTTCTTTGTTTTGGGGGTCTTTGGGTCTTTTGTTAGATTTCACAGTTCTCTTTGCACCATCCTCCTTTCTGAAAGCCACCCACACTTCCTCAGCTCTGCTCTCCTTCTCAAAGGCTTTCCTGTAGAGTCTCAGCAAGAAGGCCTCTGCTCCCACGGTGATATACTCTCTTAGCTGGGAACACGTTCGGTCATCACTTGCACAAATAAGTACCTGACCTAAAATTAGAAAACAATATTATGTCACTATTCCCTATGGGCCCCCCCACCCCTTTCCTCACAAGGAAGACACATCTTATCTCTTGGTGCTAAAGACAGAACATTTATAATTTGTTTAAAAAGGGTCTTAGATGCAGGATCATGTAAAACTTTAAGTTAAAGCCAGAAATATTTAATCTTATGAAAGATTAATGTATAATGGAGGCTTTTAAAAATCTCTTATTAATTAATAATTCCCAGAGAATCTTATACACCAAAATAAATTCCAAGTGGATTACAGAGTCAAATGTTAAATATTAAATTATTTTAAAAAAGGTGACTCTTTTTCATCTGTCTGGCTACAGATGATTTTCTAGGCTTAAAAGCAACAGAAAAAAAAAAAAATCTCAGGAAGATCGATATCTATAAGTTAAGACCGACTCTATAAGAATAAAACACTGTGCATTAAAAAACAAAAGACAAAAAAAGAACATTATGCAACAATGATAAATGTTATATCTTTACTGTGTAAAAGATGATATAAACTAAGGACATAGCCTAAGTTGGCAAAGAAAACTAAGACAAAAGAGGAAGTGCATTTGAGAAAATACTGAACCTATCAAACATCAAAACTTAAAACAAGATAACATTTTTCTCCAATCAAATTGATAAATTACACCTACACTAGAGGCCTGGTACAGGACATTCATGCACTGGGGGGTGGGGTGGGGGGGAGCCTCCCTCAACCCAGCCTGTGCCAGTCCGGGACCCCCAAGGGGTCCTTAGTGATGCCATGGAGGTGGGAGAGGTTCCTGCCACTGCCTCTGCATTCACCAGCCTTAAGCCCGTTGGCGAGCCTGGCTTCTGGCTGAGCGACGCTTCCCCTGTGGGAGCACACTGACCTCCAGGGGACAACTCCTGCATTGAGCGACGCTCCCCCTGGTGGTCAGTGCACGTCATAGTGACCGGTCGTTCTGCTGTTCGGTCGATTTGCATATTAGCTTTATATTATATAGGACGTGCACATATACACACAAATAGATAGACTCTCTAGTCATTGTTACCTAAGTGAAAAAGAAATAAACTCTTATACTGCTAGAAGAAATGAAAGTTGATAAAAACTTTTTGTAAATCAATGTGGTAATATGTTTCAAGAACTTTAAAAATGTTAGTATCATTTGACTCATCAATTCTATACCCAGAAATTTCATCTACATATGACTTTATCAATGTGAAATAGAAGATACAGGAAAAGAAGGCTAGAAGGAATTGTGCCAAAGTTAATTTTGTTAATAAAGGCCAATGTTAATAACATGGCTGCCAGACACAATTTTTTGCCTTCTCTTTTTTCTGTATATTTTTTATTTTTCTAGTTGAGCATGTGTGACTTTGGTCTGGGATAATATCACCAACACATTTACTAATAAAAGGATTGTATGCTTGCCTTTATTGCTTTGCAGGATTTCAAAGACTCAGTTAGTTTAAAAATCTAGTTTTCTTTTATTTTCTGTTTGGTTTTATTTTTTTAATTTAGGTCAGGCTTAGTCTATGTTAATCTAGTATACTCATGTTTGAAGAAAGCAGCCCTAAAAGTTGGAATTTTTGTAAGGCTAAGTCAATGTCACTCTATATAATAGTTTAGGCTTCCCTGAGAAGATACTTGCTGAGGAAATAAAACATAAGACCCTTTAGCTTGCTCCTTGGGGATTCCAGATTTCAAGCCTTGTAAATATATATGTGGAGATTAGCTGTGTCTTTTACTAGAATTCCTGGGAACCCAACCAGTAAAAGAACCTGCTTTCATGAATACATAGTGACTTAACCTGGAGAAAGTCATACAGATAAGGGACTGCTGCTAGATTTCTGTGTTCATTTGGCAGTTATTCTCCTACATTTTATAAACAAAGTAGTAAGCTATTTTTAAAGAGCTAATAAAAAAGACTCATTGTCTTGATTTTGAAAGCAGATGTCAGCATCTTCCTTTTCCTACCTGGACCACCAAGGGCTTCACTCTCCGAATTTTCTGCTTCAATTTCTTTCAGTACTTCAGTCAGTGCTTCCCACTTTGGGTTGCTTTCCAGGACCAGTTCCTTTTTTGTTTCTGTATAGAAATAAAAGATAATCTCATTCTATGTGATAATTTTTACCCACGAAGTATTCTGAAGATTTTCAAATCAATAGATAACACAAGTATCATTCCATAAGCCCATTCCTTTGGGCTTCCTCCATAATGCCAGGGAGAATCTGTTTCCGTGAAAGAAGTCTCCTTGTGGTTTAAATCAAAGGCACTTCAAACCAACATTAATACAAATTTCATAATTCCTTGATAGAAAGTGATATTCAAAGTCACTAATAAGAGATAAGTCTGTGTTATCTGTCAATTGTGATGCTATATATGACCTGCTATACAAAAAAAAAAATCAGTAGAAAGGAACAGTATTCACTGTTTCTAAAATCCCCATGATTTTCACAATCCTGAACATAAAATAGAATTAGACACAGTCAAATTTTTATTTCACAACACTAATATGTTTAAGTTTTAAAAGAGATCTTTGAACCAGAAAGTAAGCAGTACCCTTATCCCATGCCTTAAGAAACCAATGATTTTTGTTGTTGAGCTGTATAAGTTCCTTACATATTTTGGATATTAGCCCCTTACCAAAGATATTGTTTGCAAATATCTTTTCCCATTCAGTTGGTTGCCTTTTTGTTCTGTTGGTTTCTTCCGTGCAGAAACTTTTTAGTTTGGTGTAGGTTGAGAGTATCATGCTCAGTAAAATAAGTCAGATGGAAAAGGACAAGAATCATATAATTTCACTCACACGTGGGATATAAAACAGAAAACAACAAAGGAACAAACAAAATAAACAAACTTACAGACACCGACAACAGTATGGTGGTTATCAGAGGGGCAAGAGGTCAAATATATGGTGATGAAAGGAGACTACACACTGCCCTAACCGGCTTGGCTCAGTGGATAGAGCGTCGGCCTGCGGACTGAAGAGTCCCAGGTTCGATTCCGGTCAAGGGCAGGTACCTTGGTTGCAAGCACATCCCCAGTAAGGGGTGTGCAGGAGGCAGCTGATTGATGCTTCTCTCTCATCGATGTTTCTAACTCTCTATCCCTCTCCCTTCCTCTCTGTAAAAAATTAATAAAATATATTTTTAAAAAAAAGAAAAAAAAAAAGAAAGGAGACTACACAATGCAGTATACAGATTATGTATTATGGAATTATACACCTGAAACTTATATATTATTAACCAATATTACCCCAATAAATTTAATTTTAAAAACTTAATGATATTAATTATATTGGAATAAAATATATATTTGCCTCATTCTAGTACATTTATGTTCTCTAAACACTAAAGGGATGTTAAAATGTTCCACTAAGACTTTAAGTGCCCCAACTAGTAATTACTCTGAAGTTAAAATAAAAATCTATACTACTTTTGCAGCAGTAAGAATACACTCGATTGATACTTGGCATTTGTTACTTGGAACTCCTTGATTATGGATTCTAAGGATTTGCCATGGTGAATACGTTTTTCTTTTGTTTGTTTTTTGCCGTGGTGAATACTTTTAATGTACGTTACATATGTTACATATAACCTACACTTAACAGACAGGTACACATTTTCACATGGCCAAAAATGATTTAAAATTTCAGTGTAACTTGATAAGCAATTCCACACCAAATACTGAAATAAAAGACACATTTAAAGACTTAAGCCTACAAGATACCTTGCTCTTCTTTAATCTCCATTTTTTCGGACATTTTGCCTTTTTTACTCATTTTGGCATCTGGAACACGATAAACCCTTGCTCGAGCATTTACAAACATCGAGGTGCTGGAGTCAAGAAACAGCCAACCTAATATAAAGAGTTAAAAAAAAACAAACACCTTCAAATTTTAAAGAATCTCTCATGGTCCCATGATCTATATATACACCTGGCTGCCATCTTGTTCTTCTCTGAACCTGTGGCCTCTATCACGGTTTGGTCAGACCAGTGGTTTTCAAAGTGTGGCCTATAGGCTCTTGGGGGACCCCAACATATTTTCACGGGGTCTATCTTCATAATAACACAACTTCTCTCATAATAATACTAACTCATTATTTGACTTTTTCCCACTGCATTGACATTTCCTATGATGGTGCAAAAGCGTTAGTACGTAACACTGCTGGTGCCTAAGCACCATCAAGGCAGTGGAACCAAAGTGTACTAACCATCAGTGTATTCTTCATTTCAATGCATTTGCCGTTTATCACTCAAGAAGGTCCCTGATGAAGCAGTAAAAATTATGAATCCTATTAAGTCTTGGCCTCAGGGGCCCATGGGCCATACTTTGAAAAGCACCAGCCTAGGCCACAAGAGTGAGGAAAGGATGCCACTGATAGCAAAGCAAAATAGTGCCCAGGCATATGTGATGCTATGTTTCCTTACAAATATCTCATCTTTGGTCTTCAGCACTCTAGCTGATGAAACCCCATGCTGCCTTACTGTTTCTGCAGGGAAAATGAATTTTAAATTCTTAACAACTAACCTTCCAGAATGCAAGCTATTTCTAGGTTGGGAACTGCTTGTATTATACAGATTTTTTTTCTAGAAATAAAATTGCCCAGAATGGATATGAATATTTATTACTATAGAGAACAGAAGTTAAGTAGGCGGGAACATTAGCTATCAATAAAACCTATATCCTTGCGCTAGGAATGTAAAATGTAATTTGAAGCCTAAGTATATCATGTAGGTGAATATAGCACTCCCCACACCTGATTCCTCAACGAAACCCAGAACTATATTCAAATCAGCTCCGAGGAGAATATTAGTATTTTTATCTCCCACCTGAATTTTGACCGAAAGCCTTCTCTGTTGCCCTCAGGGATTCCAGAAGATTAAGAAATGTGATGCAATCATACTGAGAGAGATATTGCAGTAAAGTTCGTAGTATCTTCAAATCCTGAACCAAGGATTTAGTCTTGGCTCCAAGCTGGTGCCACAAAGGATCCAGATAATGGCGGATTGTCTAAAACAAGAATAAGATTTAGTATTGCTAGAATATGTTCCATATAGCTATTATTAATACAGATTATACTTTCAAAATTATCATCCCCTATATACCTAAAAATGGTTAAAATGATTTGTTATGTATATTTTATCACAATAAAAATATCCAAAATATTATCTTCCAAGGAAGTAGATAGAAATTTCAGTTCATAAGATTCTAAAAATAATGTTTAATTTTTCAAATACAATGCAGAGCGCCTCATCAGTAGAATCTTTATAATCAGATAGAGTCAATTCATAATTGTCCATATGTACAGTTTTAGTCAGAAGAGAAAAGGCCTGATAAACATCAGATAATCAATCATTTCTTTTTAGGAAGAGTCAAAGCATGTAGCTCAGACATTCAATTTCTGCCAAGTTCAGCTGTGACCTTATCCTGGATTGATAAGTTGTGGGGTCCAGTTGGACAATGGAGCAGAGGGCATAAACCAGGGAAACTACATGGCATTAAATTAAATAATTGTACCTTAATTTGTTAGTGCAAAAGGTCTTAGCTTTTTTAATTTTTTTAGTGTGATTCATGGATGGGAAAATATTGTTAAATTACTAACTGACTAAACTGTTAAATTGACTAAATTGTTAAATTAACAAACTGACTAAATTTGAATTTTTTAAAATATATTTTTATTGATTTCAAGAAGAAGGGAGAGGGAGAGAGAGATAGAAACATCAATGATGAGAGAGAATCATTGATCGGCTGCCTCCTGCTCACCCCACACTGGGGATCGAGCCCACAATCTGGGTGTATGCCCTAACCAGGAATCGAACCGTGGCCTTCTGGTTCATAGGTCAATGCTCAACCACTGAGCCACACCAGCCGGGCTTGATTGCTTTTTAAGATAATAAAAAGTTGCCTAAAACACACAACAACTTTATGTACTGTAAATACAGTGCAGATATCTACATATCCACAACTATACACATGAACATTTCCTCTATAAACTGACTCTGTAACTAAAAAGGATAATACTGGTAGCATCACATGGAAGCAGTATCACTACATGGCATCTTATCTAACAAATTTATTGCCGGAACTGGTTTGGCTCAGTGGATAGAGCTTCGGCCTGTGGACTGGAGGGTCCCGGGTTCGATTCCGGCCAAGGGCATGTACCTGGGTTGCGGGCACATCCCCAGTGGGAGATGTGCAGGAGGCAGCTGATCGATGTTTCTCTCTCATCGCTGTTTCTGACTCTCTGTCTTTCTCCCTTCCTCTCTGTGAAAAATCAATAAAATATATTTTAAAAAAAAATTTATTGTCCAAACTAGGATTCTTGTAAAAATGAAATGATACTATTAATAATTATTCCATAATAACCGGCAGATACTGGAACTGTTCTAGACAAACTGGGACATGTAATGCCTGTCTCTTTTGTAAGATCATCTATAAAAGTTAAATTTTCTAACAAGTTGCATGTTATAGCTATATTTAGTTTGGTTACTAAAAGAATACCTAAAACAATACTTTGACTATTACTAGCCAGGGGATGTTAAACAGAAATTTAATGCAAAACATATTAGACTATGTTTTGTTTTTCTAAGGATATAGACATTCTATTAAAAGAATGTGAAGGGTTTGTGTGTGTGTGTGTGTGTGTGTGTGTGTGTGTGTGTGTGTGGCTTCACCACACACTAAATTATAATAAGCTTTACTTTAATAACAGAGAAAATTCATTTTATGTATCATTACTTCACAGTAAAAGATATGCTTATTTGGGGGGGGGGAAATCAAAGAAATGAGGATTTAAATTTTTCCTTTTTTATAACTATTCTGTATTACTTCCAGTGACAAAGAAACTGATTTAGAATTTTAAAGAAAGGAACTTAGTCTACCAAAATATGAAAAAAAAAAAGGTGCCTGGAATCCTTAAAAAGTGAGCATTTTACAGATCTACAATTCAGTCTCAGACATTTACCTATCTGTATTAATATTAGCCTATGATGAAAAAATTAGAAAAAAAAAAATCCTTGAACTAAAGTCTTACCATTTTCTCAATTCAGAATGTAACTTTAAGGCAACAAATTTCACATTCCTCACTAATGAAAACTCATCCAAATTATTCTTACTCTAAACAAGAGATTATACATTCTGAAGCAGTCTTATGTAAAACCCTTCTACCTGTAGATATCCTAATGCTGTCATTTAAGAGCAAAAAGGTCACTTATGGTCCTCTTAATCATATTTACAATGGGATAATCACTGCAAGATCAGAATTGTGCTTACATGCCAATCCACATATTTTACTACAAACGCTTACTTTCCGGTAAACCAAAGAAGCTATCTGTACTTTAAATCACCTCCAATCTAATTAAAACAACAGCAAATCCTATGAAGAACACTGCAAATATTAAAATAACTGGCATTCTTTAAAATTATAACATAATAAACTGTGCTTAAAAAGGAAAGAAATAGAGTACCTTGTCAAAGGGCTTTCCAATGGCATTTTCTAAAGACAAATCTTCGACTTCCAGCGACGGGTTATGGCATTTTAGTTCCTTTAGGCATGCATTTAAAATGTCCAGGATAGCAGTCTGAATGGCAAGCATGGCAGGCGTCATAGAAACATGAATTTCTACGACTTCAGGTTTGTGCTGCTCCAAAAACGAATTTACTGCGACATGGAACCTAAAGAGACAGATATTTTTCAAATATTTTCTAGAGTTTCAACAGCTACGTATTTCTGGTCTCGGTTTAATTTTCTAATTTTTTTTAATGCAATTAAGAGGCAAACAACATAGAAAGCAAAATGACAATGTTTTCAGGAAAACTTTTAACCTCCACGAATGGAAATTATTCAGATAAAGCAGAGGTCAGTAAACTATGGTCTGGGCTAAATCCTGGGCCTATTTTTAAAAAATATGTTTTCATTGATTTTTAGAGAGAGGAAGGGAGAGGGAGAGAGCAACACTGATATGAGAGAGGAACACTGGTTGGTTGCCTCCTGTATGCACTGCGACTGGGAACCAAACCCAAAACCTGGGCATGTGCCCTGACCAGGAATCGAACTGGCGACCTTTTGGTGCACTGGATGATGCTCAAGCAACTGAGCCACAGCGGCCAGGGCTAGGCCTATTTTTATGACTAGTCTTACTGAGACATAGCCATGCCCACGGTTCATGTACTGCCTGTGGCTACTTTCACGGTAGGACAGCAGAGCTGAAGAACTAACAGACCTCATGGCCCACAAAACGTAAATCTTTACAAACTGGCCCCTTCCGGGAAAGGTTTGTTGATACCCAAAATAAGGTATAATCAAGAAACAAAAAAGATAACAACTACTCTTAAATACCATAAAGTGTAACCAAAATACCTATTAGCATAGGTTGCAAAATGTTTGAAAATTGAAGCCTTCTGTTTTTCCTAGAAATTTACTGAAATTCTTCAAAATCTCTGGGCATTATTTCCCTGATGGGTTATTTTCAAAGTGGAAGTGGGAGTCTTGGCCACTGAATCTGCAGTTCACCTACTGCTGCTGTGTAGATGAGTCTCTAGATTGCCCTCTGGGAGTTTTATTAAGTGGATGAGAAAGAATAACATGGCTGCATTTGGATGGTTTTGATGGGGCTACCAGAAAAATAACTATCAAATCTCTTTCTCCTTTTAAAAGAATCACAAATGTGGTGACCATACATTATTTATATTTGGATGCACTTGTTACGAACCTGACGAGCACATATCAAATCCAATGACAGTACATTTTACATTACATTAAAGTGCAAAGTCAAATGACAGCAGATTCCCTCAGAAGTTGATCACATCAGGCTATTTACCTTGGCCAAAGATACAGCTTCCTTACGAAAAGATTCCTCATCACTCTTTCCACATGACAAAAACCAGTATCAAAGGCAACAGCGTTGTCTGTGAAAGCTTTAATAAAGCCACGTTTGTTTTTCTGGCGAAAGAGGCGCAGGATGAATGCTTCTTGACAAGACTCGATTATTCTGTGAGCTCTATACACCAAGATGCCTGAAAGGGGGGAATTAAAATTTCAATTACAGAATCGACGTAGTTTTCAGGCTCAGTTTCATTCACTTATTCATCACATTTTTCTTGAGTGCCTACTTGAGTATGGGCAAGCACTGCTTTGGCTGGGAAGATAGCCTCAAAGAAAACACGTAATCCTTATGTCACTTATATTAACAATGTAAATAAGTAAAATATTCAGTCGGTTATAAGGTGGCAAGAGCTGAAGAGAAAAAAATATATTAGAAGAGGGGGAGTATGTGTGAAGGGTGTGGTTTGAAATTTTAGATGGGTGGCCTCGCTGAGGTCATATGAGTAAAGGCAGATGAGGAGATGAGCCTTGCAGACTCTGTGGGCCAGGAGAGTTCCAGGCAGAGGAAATCATACGAGCAAAGGCCCTGGGGTAGGGCATGTCTGGCACAGTGGAAGCATTTCTGAAAGCTATGTGGGTTACTAATTCTCCTTTTATTGTGAATGAGATGTGGACTACAAAAGATCGCTGCATTTTAGAAGTTTCGGCAACATCTGAATCACCTATTTAAAATAATTCAATTTTCAGAATCAGAGTATTCAGTTGAGAGGTAAATTAGTCCAGTTAAAATAAAAACTTTTAATGAGTATGTTTAATACATATATTTTTTTAGTGTGGGTGTAGTGACAACTCCTCTGAATCACAAAAACACGGACAATTATACATGTTTCCTTATTTATAAAACAAGCACTGGACCAGATGATCTTGTGTGTGTGTGTGTGTGTGTGTGTGTGTGTGTGTGTGTAAATAATTTTGTTGTGGTTTGATTAGTGATAAATTAGGGACAGACATGAGATGGTATAAGAATGCATAGACATCATTTCTGGATCAAAAACTCAATTATTCTATGATGATTCTCAGTCTTACAGACGTAAACCAAGCCTGTTATATATATTGTTATATATATTTGCTATAAATGCACTTGCACATTTTTGCCCGAGTTGTCATCACTCCTAGTTCCTAGAAAATGACACCAATTGCAATATATGACCCCTTCTAGTAGTTCAATACATTCAATTCAGATTCTACTATTTTAGTGTTTCACTTTTGGATCAAGGTGGATGGAGCTAACATTTATTTGCCTAAGCAAATTGTTTTCCAAATATGGTAAAAATTAATAGTATTATTTAAGAATTTGTAAACAAAGGATTTTCAATCACCCCAGTACACGTACATAATTTACTACTTAGAAAAGATTCTGTACCTAGTAGGTGGGTTGTTCCAAGTACTCTACTGGGCCACATTTGCTGGCCTGGATTGAAATATTATATAAAATTAAAAATAACTTCTAAAGAAAAGGTAAACCTCAATTTAAGAAAATTCTGTGCTCTAATAGGCTGTCATTTTTTTGGAACCCAATGGAGGAAGGAGGAAAGAACTAAAATCCGAGGCCCTGGGATTAGGCACTTTTATAGAGTTTTATTTAATTTAAGCCTCACAATACTTCTGTGAGGTAGGCATTATTGAGACCAGGAAAGGGAAGCAACTTAATTAAGGTCATCCAGCAAGTAATGGGAGACCAAAGATTCCAAAACCCAGTTTTTCCTACCAAGTGTCACCACCTGAGAACCCCACTTTTTAAAAAAAGAAATAAAAACAACACAAGCAGGTCATATTTCTGGGGGCAATTTTAATCCCACAAAAGCCTATTGAATTCTTTTATGCTCCCATAACATCTCGATCTCATCTCATACTGTACTGTAAATATTTTTTTTACATTGGTCTCCTCCACTGAACTGCTTGAGGACAGGAACATTCACAACACATAGTAATCACAGAATGCTTACTATGGGCCATGCACAATGCTAAGAACTTTACGTAAGTTATCTCATTTCATCTTGACAATAATCCTAGAAGGAAGGTAGTATTACTGTCTCCAATTTACAGATGAGTTAACTGGGTCATACAGAAATTAACTTTTAATTAGAAACTACCTACACGCTCTACTTTGGACATTTATTGGACTCAGATTGCTCAAGTAGGTTGGACTATTATTGAAAGAGCAATACTGACATCTAGTGGTAGTTTCAAGATTTTCTTTTCCATTTTACCAACTTAAAAAATAAATAAAACAACTTATAGGAAAGGAGCAAACAGTAAAAGACTTTATGATCTATCAAGATTTCTGGTTATAAAATGCCAATATACTTTTTTTTGATATTATTTATTAAGTGTTTGTTACATACCAGGCACTAATACTAAGCAATTAAGAAATGAGAAAACTGGGACTCATGAAAAAAATTAATGAAAACTTAAGTAACTTGCTTGTAAGCAGTGGCATTACCAAAGTCAGGTGATTCTGACTGCACGGTCTGTGCCACAGCTTATAACAATCAGCTCACCATGAACCATAAAAAGAATTCATTCATATGTTTATTCATAATTATGTTTTGAGGGGCTCCTAGGTTCAGAGCAATATGATAGACAAAGTGGAAAGTACAGTTATGAATTTCCTAAGTCTCTCTGCCCTCCAAAAGTTCACCACAGAGCACAGTACACCCATGCATCATTCACCCAACAAATGTGTGTTTAGTATCTACTGTGTCCCAGTTACTTGTAGCCTGGGATGAACAAGTTGTTCCTCGTGCCTACAAAGCTTGTTCTCTCATGAGCCAGACAGACAAATAAATAAGCAAATATTATACGGTGCTCTGAGTGCTATGAGAAGCACAGGATAACCTGAGGTCACAGAGGCAGAGCCTCTAAATTAGTTTTGGGGAAATCAGAAAGGGTTTCTAAAAAAAACAAGTAATAATAGTAATAATTCCTTTTCTATATTAATTCTAGCTAAGAAACCATTCTTCTCAAATAAGCAACTATTTGGTCTAACTCACATCATGGGGAAAATACTCTTTAAAGAGGAAAACCAAATATTTTAGGAATTATACAAAGAATATTTACAAACATTTCAAGTCTGATTAGGTTCTAAAAGCAAATGCCATCCAATTACCACGCTACTTACTGAATACCAGCTTAGAAAACAAGGAAAAGTCAACCTTAGATTTATTTGTTTACTTATTCAGGCCACATATATTTATTGAGCATCTATCATGTGTCAGATATTGTGCTAATGGCTAAAAGGACAATGTTGAGAAAATACATACAATGCTACTCACAGGAAGGTTCTAGCTTAGAGTAGTTTAGCAGAGGCGACAGACACACACACCAAAAAGGCAAATTTACATAGGATAAAATTTCAAATTCTTACCAGTAATTAAATCTGAAGGTATTCTATCAGTCAAAAAATCAACCACGAGAATTCGACTTGTTGCAAATATCACACCTCCTTGTGTGTAAACCTCATAGCGGCCATTGCTTGCGATTTCATTTGTTACGCGGCGAGGGAGGTGTTCCACTCCTTCTATCTTCAGCTGATTGATGAAATACTCCTAAACCAAATGAAACTGAATTAGTGGGCTGCTTAATACAAGGGGCAGCTTTGATGCGGTGGCAGGGATTTGTATTTAAAACGATACGCTGCTTTCCTCGGCGATAACGAACGTAATAATGCATATACAAACCAAGTTACTACTTTACGTTGATCAACCAGCCAGTCTGCACTTAACTAGGCTGTTCTGGTTTTTGTTTTGTTTTGAGGCTTACACTGGCCGTGGTCGGCAAACTGCGGCTCTCGAGCCACATGCGGCTCTTTGGCCCCTTGAGTGTGGCTCTTCCTAAGCCTTAGGAGTACCCTAATTAAGTTAATAACAATGTACCTACCTATATAGTTTAAGTTTAAAAAATTTGGCTCTGAAAAGAAATTTCAATCGTTGTACTGTTGATATTTGGCTCTGTTGACTAAAGAGTTTGCCGACCACTGCTCGGACTAAGGAATCATTGCACTTGTTATTAGCATTTTAATAACAATAAAAAGAAAGGCTTTCAAACTCTGAGTTAAAAGACTTCTACTACCTAGAAAAAAATACTTCCCACCAAAGCCAGGTTTGCATGAGTGAGAAGATCCTTTTCCCAGGCAATGTTTAGATTATTAGTTCTGTCAAGATCTGCCCTAGAGGGAATTTCATCATGTCCATGGGACCCCGGGCCCTCACACCTTCAGTTCAATGCTGCCTTTACTGGGGACTTGGGGGGGGGGGGGTGTTTGAAGTTGGGGGGTTGCTGTGTGGTGTTAAGGCCTCTGTCCAGCACAGGGGATCCCTAGGTGGATGGAGACTGTGGTCACTCTTCTCAGTCGACACGTTCCTCCTGCCACCTGCTCATCAGCCTTGTCAGACCAGGCTGTCACCGCTCAACACCCCCGGCCCAGGTGGACCCCCTCCTCAGCCCCAGTTCCCCTGCCCCAATATTCTCGGCTTCCAGCTCCCTCCCCTCTGACCCCATGCCCTCCTCCCCCAGCTCTGGGGAACCTCTTAGTCCCTCCTCTTCCCTACAAGGCTCTCCCAGCCTCAGCATCTGCACGTCCCCCCACTATCCTCAGAGATCCCTCCATCCCCATTCCCGCCCCTTTCCCCAATCCTACTCCTTGTACCCCAGCAAGCCCTTTGCATAGCCAACTATGGGATTCCATCATTATCCCTACCCTCCTACAGACCTCCCCTACCCCTCCCAGAGCCCCTCCATCCCTCTCACTGTCCTTGGTCGGGGACCTGCATCCCCCGCGGGGCCCCCGCATCCGAGTCAGAGACCTGCATCTGCCTCAGGGCCCCTCATTCAACGCCTCCCCCATGCCCGCGTCGGGGGGCCTGCACCGCCCTCAGAGGCCTCGCATCCGCGCCGGGGCCTGCATCCGCTCGGGAGGCCCCCCTCGCTCTCGGGGTCCCCTCTGCCCGGCGCCGGCGGCCGCACCTCCTCGGCCGGCTGCGTGTTGAGCACCAGCACCAGGCACGCCGGGTGGCAGTGCAGCCGGAGGAAGTGGTAGAGGAGCCTGTCCGCGCCGAGCCCGCGGGCGCACACTACCAGCCCGTCCGCGTCCAGTAGCTCCAGCACCAGCTGCCGCTCATATTCCAGCAGCGGCGCCATAGCCGTCGGTCGAGCCGACAGTCCCCGCTCCATGGGCGCCCTTCCGGGCCGTCGCCGAACGCAGACGAAGAGAGCCGAGCCCGAGAGGACGAGCGTCAGCCGAGCTCCGCCGAAGAGGAGCTGAAGCCAAGACGAGCGTCTCCCGAAGGGAGCCGAAAAGAGCCGAGCCCGAGAAGACGAGCGCTGGCCGAAGGGGAACCGAGGCTGCGACGGGAAGCTCCCGAAAGTAGCCGAAGAGAGCCGAGCCGAGCCGAGAACACGAGTGCTGGTCGAACACAGCCGAAGAGGAGTCGAGTGGAGCGAAGATTCGTAGAGTCACAGGGCGGTGCTAGCACTCCAGACAGGTGGCCCCTGCAAGCCTCAGGCTCCACCCCGGAGCCTTCAGTCGTTCTACCTGTTTGGTACCTCGGATTTGAAAGTCCGGCGTCCTAGACCTGGAGCTAGAAAACAAGCTACCAAAAAGTAGGAGAGGAGAATGAAATGGAAGGAGTTTAGATCCCGGACCTTTACAATTGAGAAAGTTAAGTGTCAATCTTCCAAGTGTTCTTGTTCTTCAAGAATGTTTCGAGTAAGTAGAATAGCTTACTAATTTCAGGGCTCTTGCTTCTCTTGGAAGGTCTCGAATACAATAAGCGATCTAAAATAAAGTCTCAACCACGTGTTCCGCAGCAGCCCTGTACCGCCTGCCATTAGAGCAGTGGTTCTCAACCTTGGCTGCACATTAGAATCACCTGGGAACCTTTTTAAGATCCTGATTTCTGGGCCTCATCCTCTGGAAATTCTGTTTCTTTGTTACTAACGTTGTGGCCCCACCCCATAACAAAAAAAACACACAGAATTTCCGGAGGATGAGGCCCAGACATCAGGATTTTTAAAAGATTCCCAGGTGATTCTACTGTGCAGCCAAGGTTGAGAACCACTGCGTTAGAGGGATGCCTTTGGTAGTTTTTGTTCTATATCTAGAAATGCCTGTTAATCTAATGAAAGGAATTGTTCTGTAAAGTAAGCCCAAATAAAAATCATTTGTTATTCCACAATCCAGAAATAACCTCTGTAACATAAAATATATACTTTTAATATATACAGTGTTTCCCCAAAAATGTATACACACTTTAACAGCTGATAGCTCAGTGTTGAAAATGAAATGTTTTTAAATAAACACTGCCTTTATAATTATTCAAAGTGTATTCATATATTTTTGGGACACCCTATATACAAATATGTACACACTCTTTCACCACACAAAGTTTTCTTTTTTGATATGAGATAAGACGTAACCCCGATTTAACCCCAAGTTTGTCACTAACAATTTGACAAACCTCTGAACATGGTGTTTAATATCCTTTCACAAAATCCTTTCACATGGTGAAATTTCTGTAATGAGGCTGTATGATACTTATCTCCCTAATTCCTTATTAGTGAACATTTAGTTTGTTTTTCCAACCAGTGGTCTTTGGCACCAATTCAATGTCAACAGGAATCTCCAAGTTGGGGTGTGGTGAGGAAGGAAACTTTATTCCATCAACTCTGGATTGCTGAGATGTCTTTGGTGGTTCAGCTCCAGCCAAGGAAACTCAATCACCACTGGTGGAAGGGAAAGTGTGCTGGCTGAGCCCTACAGCAGTTAAATTTTAAAGAGTAATGGCTCAGTTCCTGGTCTCTGATTTGTCCATCCTCATGCAAATGAGGGCTACAAATCGTCACAGTTTGATTGGTCCCAGAAGCACTGTTCTGATTGGTCAGAATGGAGCCTCTCTGATTGGTCTGTGAAGGTGCTAATGATATAGCTGAGGAACACTAAATGACCATGGGGGTGGGGGGGGGGGGTGTCTAAGTCCTATTGGTCAAAATATGACTCCAGGAACTCCTTTATAAGGATTGACTCAGAAGTTAGGAACACAGTGTAGGCAGTGTGGGAGGCAGGCCCCTTAGTGCAGGCTTCTCCCTGAGTTGTGGCTTTCATAAGAGGCCCCTGTTTAGAAACAGCTGTTAGACTTTCTTTTTAAATTTGAGCCCAGCGAGCCACCTACTAAGCTCTTCTTAGTAGGTATCTTCTTTCTCCAGCTGACAGTTTCCACTCCCTCTGCCCCAGTATTACAGATGATATTTCACTGAACATCTTTATGCATAAATTCATCTGTGCCCCTAAGGTACACTTTAGAAATGGATAATTACTGGGCTAAAGAGAAAAGACATTTATAAGGCTTTTCATTACATTCACAGTGCCACACCGCCCTCTAAAAGCCTGCACCAATTCACATTCACACCAGTTTACAAGAGCATCTGCTTCTCTACCTCGTTACTGCTTAACCCAGTATTTTATTTACATTTTGTCAAGATTAAAACAGCATAGAGTCATTCCTGAAGGCTGGTTAAAGGGAATGGAATGTCTGCAGACATTCTACATACAGCATTTTCAATGAGAGAGGTATCAATCTCTCCAGTGCTGCAAGTGAGAAAGTGAAGGTTCAGGGAGGCTATGTAACTGGGGCAAGACCACCAAGCTAGTTAGCATACTACTTAGATTTAGGTCAGGACATGGTAAGCTAGGTCAGGACTCAACACACAGTTAGAATATGCAGTTGAAGTGATGATGCTGAAAGTCAGACCTGACTGCTAAGCTGTGGTAGGCAGAATAATAATGGCTCCCCCAAAATATCCACATCCTAATCCCTGGAACCTGTGATAATGCCCTTCACATGGCAAATAGGGCTTTGCAGATGTGATTAAGATGGAGATTTCAAGATGGGGAGATTATCAAGATGAGTCCAGTGTAATCTCAGGGGAGGAGAGAGACAAGAGGCTCATAGTAGATGTGACTATGGAAGCAGAGGCTGGAATGATGTGGAAAGAGCCACACACCAAGGAATGCAGCCTTTAGGAGTTGGAAAAGGCAAGGAAATAAATTCTCCCCTTAAGCCTCCAGAAGGAACACAGCCCTGCCAACCCATTTTGGACTTCTGACCTCCGGAACCAAGAGATAATAAATTTGTGTTGTTTTAAGCCACCAAATTGGTGGTAACTTGTTATAGCAGAAAACGAATACACAAGCATTCACTATTTCTATTACACTGAGCTCTAAAAATGAAGTCCCCAACTGATCAAAACAAAACATAGATAGGAGTACATGGTGAGGTAATACTTTTGGAGGGTGATTGGTCAATACATACAGAAATTTAAAATACCTGTGGAGGTACATACATATACATGCAGGTATATTCACCCGATGAGTGCTTACTGGGCATCCACTCTGTGTCAGGGACTGCACTAAGTGCTGAGGGTTTATCAATGAGCAAAGCAGGCAAGATCTTTGCCACCATAAGACTTATATTCTAGTGGGGAGCTTGTGTACAAGTGTAATGATGTTTACTCATTACATTATTTTGTGAGATACCATTATTTCTCAGGAAATTAGGAGGCATCAGGAGGTATTTTTACTAGGAGACTAGTCAAAATTTCTTCATGCATCCCTAAAAAGTGGGGTATCATGCAACCAGCAAAAGCCGTATGTGGCAAGATACACAACACATGCTATTATATACTGAAAAAAGCTTTTGCAAAACAAGAATGCATAGTATCTTCCCATTTGTCTAAAAACATCAGCAAACAATACTTTCTCGTGACTGCATAGAAAAGCTATCAACAAAAGCAGTTATTTCTGGGGTGTTGAAATGAGTGGTTGGCATCAGGGTAAGACCTTTATATCTGTTCATTCCCTTCTGTTTGACTTTTTTTACAATGAACTTAAATTGCTTATATAATAAAAACCAAAAAAAAAAAATTTCCCGGGTGCTATATAAATATTTCATCATTACTAAAATATATCACCAGGTGAATTCTACATATAATATATGTGCGGTGGGTAATACTTAATGTCAAAAGTTGGTATCTGGGGAGCAACTTTTGTAGATTCTAACAGATTGTGTCTGGACATTTTAGTTTTGTCCATGGGGAACATGAAGGGACTAGCCCCCTTTCCCCCACTTTCCATGTAGATGTCACAATAATTCTCCAACCTTTCTTTCTTTTTTCGATAATCTGATCACCAGAGCTGCCGGAAGCCGGTCCACCCTTGCTGCTTGACACAGTCGCTGCAGGGAAGAAACATCTGCACAGCATATGTTTCAAGGGACCTGGCGTATATGGCATACTGTTCTTAATATGTTTGCTCCCCTTCTTGGCGCTATGTGTTTTAACCAAGGTCACCTCTCCAGGAAAGTTTGTTTCCCCAGGTGGGGATTTTTCCCTAGAGTTAGGGAGGGAATAAAACCCCTTAACTAAGTGCCAGGCGGGTAGTTACTCACTTTAACTACGAACAATCACGCTTAAGCTACATAATCTTTACTCCCTGGAATGGAGATAAGAAACGCCCTAACCTTTAGAATAGAAGTTGATAGGATTAAAATCAACTGGTATAAATACAGATGTAACAAGACAATAAAACACAGAACCTGGCTGGAGATCCTAGCTAGAGAACCCAACTATGCTGATGAACTGAACGCTGCCTCCATGTCATTCCTTCTTCGCCGACTCCGTCCACACCTTTGGGAACCCCTGGACTTGCTGGGGCTGGATCCCAACACAGAGCCATCTTCCCTCCAGGTCACTTTGCAAGTTTCAGTTTAGCCCAGGAGGACACAGGGCAGGCTGTCATTTTTGGCCTTTGGCCTTGGGCTGAGAGTGAGATTAAGCATCATTTTCCTCCTGACCTGAGATAGAGCCCAGCACATCTCCATTACCCTTAGCTTGGCTGCCATAGGAGGCCATCGTAATTTCTCTTAGCCATCTCGGTGTTTCACATATAGTGTGTCCCCAACAATGTACACACACACTTTGAGTAATTATAAAGGCAGTGTTTATTAAAATACGTTTCATTTTCAAAATTGAGCTGTCAGCTGTCAAAGTGTGTATACATTTTTTGGGGACACCCAGTATATATGTTAATGCCTAGTAAAGCCAGAGGCTGGGGAAAGGATAAAGAGCTAACACTTCCTGGGATTAGCTCCTCTCCTAAGCCTTCGAGTTTGCTCGTATGCTTTAAGGGTTCAGGTGCTCAGTTTGGTTGTCTACTAGCTGTGTGACCTCATACAAGTGACTTAAGCTCCCTGTGCCTGAGATGCCTCATC